CCTGGTGGGAGGTGAGGCTGAGATGAGCTTCACCCCAGTGGCTCCGCCCATGGCCCAGGCTCCTCTGGCACTGAGAAGGCAGAGGTGCCACCCCGCCGAGGAGCAGAGGAAACCGGCACTTCGGCAGTCTTAGGAGAAGCGGGGGCTGTGTGCACAGGAGAGGACGGACGCCCCAGAAGCAGCCACGGTGGCCAGGTCACCTGTGAGACGCCATGGGTGGGAGATGCAGGTGGCTGTGCAGCGGTGCCCTGGGCTCAGGGGGAGGGGCTGGGTCAGGTCCCTGGGGCTGGCTGGGGCCTGGACATGGCTCCCTGGCCCTGAGGCACCAGCAGCACTGCTAAGTGGGTGGGACTGACCTGGTCTGTTTCTGGGTGGGGATCCAGTGTGAGCGGGTGAACGGCGAGTGGCAGCCATTGGCATGGTGAGCTAAGTACACTTGGCACACCACTGTGGGCCAGGAAGGTGTGTCACACACTTCCTGACAACGCAGAGGGTGCTGGGAGCTCGCCTGTGTCAGACGTGAGGGCAGTTGGGCCAGGGCCTGGGTTTGAAGTCACATCCAGACCCCATGTAGCAGGACGAGCCATAGACAAAACTCCTCAGACATCCGATTAAAGAAGGAAGAGGTTTTATTCGGCCAGGAGCGTCGGCAGACTCACGTCTTAAGAGCTGAGCTCCCTGAAGACAGAGTTCCTGGCCTGTTTAAGGGCTTACAACTCTAAGGGGTTCCACGTGAAAGGGTCGTGATAGATTGAGAGCACATGTGGTTAGAGTGGGGGGTTAATCTTTTAACCTCAGGCCTGGTCATCAGTGGCACCTGCTGGTCTTGCCACTGACTTCATTTCTATTGTTTTTCAACTTTTACTTCCTCCTCCTCTTCAGAGACAGGAGACAGTAAGAGAAATGGCTTCTCTCCTCACCCATACGGGTGCTCGCTGCTCCTGTCCCCACTGACTGATGACTGACAGCCAGAGGGAGGCAGTGGGTGTGTGAAGTCGCCTGGCAGGTGCGGCTGTTGGTGGCATTCCCTGGGCAGAGGTCACATTGGACGTTTGTGAACAAATGAGCAGGTTGGGGTTATAGGTTATGGAATCTGGGAAATGTGGTCTGTGACGCCATGCACACTGGGGGATCACATGGAGCCCACATGGGTGGGCACCTTTGATCATGCCAAGAAGTCAGACGTGGGACACAGAGCCGGCCCGGAGGAATGCAGGCACCAATCCCTTCCCTGAGCCACACTGAACGGGGAAAGGGCTCCAGGTGGCCTTAACCGCTGGGCTTAAAGAAAGGTTAAGAACCTCCCTTCCCTTCCAGAACCTCACTTTTCAACGACGTCAGCACAACTGGGGTCCTCAGAGGAGGCGCTCACCCTTCCACGATGGAAAGGAAAAGCCCGGCTTTCTGAACGGATGAGGCTGCAGAAGGCAGCTGGTATGATGAAAAGACAGAAAGCTTTGCCTGCTTCCACTCTTTTGAAAGATTTTTTTATATTTCTTCCCCAAAGAAAGTCACGCATTTGGACATTCAGACATTAAATTACAATTCACAATTAAGTAGTGCTTAAGTTAAAGGAGCAACATGGAACCCAGAACAGTCTTAATTTGCGTATCAGGAAATAAGATTTAGGGACAGCTGATGTTTTTCTTAATTCTTTTTCTGAGAACCGCGTGCCACTTTCCTGCGGGGTGCTGCCCTTCCCCAGGCGTGATTCCAGGGGGCTGCAGACCACAGAA